CAGGGCAGCCTGCCTGCGTGGCGGGAGCTGAGCGGGCACGCGCCGGCCGAGGCGAGGGAGAAGGCACCGTGCTCATTAGACCGGAGCGCTTGCACGAGGCAGAGGCAAGCGCTGCAGCCAGCTGGGCTCCACGGTCGTGTTTCCTTCAATTAGATCAAAATTAATGATCAGCGCAGAGCCATGTCCCTCCTGGCTTGGGGACGTGTCCGGCGCTGGCTCACGGAGCATGTGGAGCAGGAGAGGGAAGGGACGACAGCAGAGCTGCTGGCCCCCCGTTCATGCCTTCGGTTGGTGCAGAAGTGCCGGCAAAGCTTGAACCCACAACAGGGAGCAAGACGGCTATTGGAGTTCGCACTGCAGTGAGGACAAGAGGGCCCGGCACAGGCTGGGTGCTGACTGGCCCCGCGCCGGGGCAGCCAGCGTCCTGCATGGGGTGCATGGCCCCATGGCTCCCTGCAACCCCCTGCACACACACACTGCACGGAGTGGCTGCGCTACCCGCGGGGGTGGCATTGGCCAGATGCTTCCCCAGGGGATTGCCGAGCCTCGGGTATGTTCCCAGGACTACCTCCTAGCTAAAAGCAGGCAGCAACCCCCCAAGGCCTGGCCCTGCAGCCAGGGCACAGCCAGGACTCCTCCATCAGCGCCGCTGTCCCAGGCGGGACAGCCGGGGAGAGGCTGAGACTCCCCGGGGGCCTCTCTTCATTCACAACTCTGCATAATCTGCCTGAATAATTTAGGCTGGCCTGGTTAAACAGTTCATACTGATGCTGGCTGCACTGCATAGTCCCCAGGGCCTGGTGTGCCTGAGGCCACCTAACCCCTGCTGTGTTTCACAGTGCATTGGGACCCTCAGCACCAGAAAGGCCCCTGATGTCTCGTCCAAATCTCCTTCTGCAGTGGCAGCATTTACTTTGTCTAAGCCCACAACCTCTCAGCTTCCTCAGTGCTTGCTCAAAACCCCAGATCGCTCAGCTGGTCTCCATAGCTTTTTCTGTTCCTGCGATCGTGT